TTATGCATAATCGCCATCACTAAATTTAACCGGTGATTATATATATTAACCGGTAATTTATATATAATTAACATAACAAATATGTTATAAAGTGACAATGATCTTATTTCAGAATAAAGCTCTTACTTTATGTGTCAAGTATCATAAGAGTACTAAAAAGAACAAACAACAAATCTTGTGTACGTTAGCTTCTAAATATGCTGTTCAACACGAGGCTGTATGTGGCATAGCAGAGAAATTAGTTTCCACTGAGGTCTGTATCAACTTTTGCATCTAAACAACAGACTTAACGTAAGAATTATATTTATGATTCAATTTCAGTCAGATAATGAAAGACGAATGGTTTCTTACGAACGAAACTTAAGAAATGTTCTCACACCGGATTATCACTGGCTGTTTACAATAATTGGAAGACTCGAGAACGGCGTCAAATTCCTCGTTGATTTACGAACAGATATCTTAGTAAGTGCATAAAGCGATTTAAAAATCATTATTTTTATGTAATTTATGTTTATCCTTCTAGGAATTACTGGTAGAGATTAAGGACCCGGATGAAACTGTAGCGATACAGCAATTAAACATTACTTTGCGAGATCTATTACTACTTTGGTTCTCAGTAGGATTTTTACATTTAGAGAGATTAACGTGGCAGTCCTCGTGTGATATTTTACAAAAGGTATTTGTAATCACATTTAGAAAATAATATTAAATACTGTAGATATTTCCTCTGTATTATTATTGTTAAAAAATGGTAAGATTTCCGATTACGAAGCAATACATCCCATAAAAAACTGGCTAGATTTGAAGCAACGAGTTGGGCCATATAGAAGGTGTTACATTTTCACGCATCCGTCTATGCCACGAGAACCTCTTGTGGTATTGCACACGGCATTATGTGATATTATACCAGGTACGTCATTTTGTAAAGTATTTAATACGAGGTATAACAATTAATAATTAATAATTGTCAATGTAGATAGTGTAAAGGGAATAGAAGAAGCAAAGGTGAGAATCCTTGGTGGGCCAAGGAAAGAGGTAACGTTCTTGGAGGAAGACAAGGATAAAATAAAGACTGCGATATGTTATTCGATAACTTCCACCCAAAAGGGATTACAGGTAAATGGCAATGCGTAATGTGTAAAATGAAGGAAGCGACTACTTTGCTTTTTCTAGGGTATCGAACTTGGTAATTACCTGATTAAAAGAGTAGCGAAGGAAATATTATCTGAATTTCCTATGATATGCGAACTATCCACCCTGTCCCCAATACCGAATTTCCGAACTTGGCTTCTAGAAAAACTGAAACAAGGTGATTACAACAAAATAAAATTATTCAACTAATTAACGCAAATAATTGACAATAAATCTTGCAGACGTAAATACTATATTCACGAATGAAGAAGGTAATTATATACGAAGCGTTCTAAAAGAACCAGATCTCGTTTCGGCATTGAAAAAAATTTTTAATAATTCTTTATGGACACGTGACATTGAAATATGTGAGGCCTTAAAAAAGCCTTTGATTCGAGCATGTGCTTGGTATTTGTATAGGGAAAAGAGACGAAACTACGCTTTAAATACCGTCGGTGAGTCACTGTGAATGAATTGTTGATTAAGTATGGTACGAGAGACGATCTTACCAGTTTCTTTTTAAACACAGCAAATTTTCATCTTCGGAACGGCGCAGTTATGTGGAGAATAAATTGGCTGGCGGATCCTTCACCACGCGGTGTCGCAAATAGTTGCGGATTGATGGTGAACTATAGGTAATCTAATCATTTAATTAGAACATTCATTTAATTTTTTATTTAAAATACTTAGCGTGTAATAATTAAACGTCTGTCATTACAGATACTATCTAAACGATTGTGAAAAGCACAGCCAAAATTACATTGAAAATCATTTCGTAAAGGCCACTGAAGATGTTATTTCTCTTGCCATGCAACACGAAGAATTATGTATAAAATAAAATGGAATAAGTGATAAAATAATCTTCAAACAAATTTCTTATGGGACGTATACATTTGAATGGTAAGATCTAACGTTGGTACAAACCAGAAATGGAATTGAGTCATACAAATACAAAATTCATTGTGTAATTAATATTTATTAGAGAGATCCGTGTTAAAAACAATTTGAACAAGTTTAAAACCTTATAAGTCACAGTCTAGAAAGCGGTCTATACCATACTACCTCGCCCTCATTTCCTTCCCGAATATATTAAACATTCTTTTCCACCTAAAAAAGATTTTTTACATTATTGATATTTCGTAAATTTTAACAAATAATAAAAATAAATTAACTCGCATGACATTTAACGAAACGAAGTTTATGAAAATATGTCACTTTTAGTTGTCAACTTCCTGCCACTTTATTATTTACACTGCAAAAATCGTAATTATCGTTAAAATGTAATACACTGTATTCTACATCTAGTAACTACTTAAAGTGCTAGGTATCAAAATCATCATGCCAATATAGACTCATTTCCATTTCTAACTGAATCAACAATTAAAGAACTTCGTGTCTGTACTCTTCAAATTTTATGTTTTTATTAAAGATTATTAAATTTGTTCATTTATACAATAGCTGTTTCCTGTCCAGCTGAAAGACAGTACAATTGTCTGCAAGCAGATCTGTAACAAATCACAGATTTCTAATTCAGAAGAAATATATATGAACTGCGTCTCAGATCTACAGAAAAAATCGGGGATTGAAATGATTATACTTCCGTAGATACCTGTAGTCAAGGCTGGGTTTGGTGAAAGTTTGTGGGAAGATGAGGTCTACTTTCTAGTTTCGTATAATCCAAATGAAATTCTTTTGCTACTTTTCTCCAACTTTGCGCATCGAAATAATAATAAGTACCACGTTCGTATGTTGATGTTTTTTCTACAAGTCCCAATCCTGGCGCTTGCGTTATCCAAACTTTCTCCTCCGTGTGATATCGCCATTCTCTACTGTACCTTCGTAATTCAATCAGAATGCACACGTATTAATGAAAGCCGATTAAACCTGTAAGAGAATCTTAACGTAATAAATACTTACAACTCCGCTGCCGCCGCTAACTGCAATACATCTCCAACATTTGTATAAAACATATAAAATAGTAGATCATCCTTGTATCGATTTAATTTAACCGGCGCTAACTTGTCTCTAAAGTAGAAATATAAATTTAATTGCTGCAATGAAGTTTATCCGTATTCAGTGTAAGAGAAAAATACCTGATTGTAGCATTGATAAGGTACTCCGGCGGTACGTGAAAATCGATATCTTGAGGTCGGCATGGAGTTTCTGCCCAGGGCCCGCCGAAATTTTGATAAAGACTTTCCGGCGAATTAAGGTTTAATCCTAAAGCAGTCAAATCTTGACCTAACGCCAGAGACACTAGATTCGGATCTGTTTCAGCTGCCCTAATAAATGTCAGTAGCCCGACTATTCCAAACTGATCCTTTACCATACTAGCTGGTATATTAGTCACCTTGCCTGAAAAATATATATGTTACACACCAGGTACAAATCGTGTAATTCATTATGCTAGTTACGAGAAATAAAGTAAAATAATTGATACCATCAGGAGATGTTTGTATGCCCTTTTTCGATGACTGAGACTTCTCAGATCCAGGCGCTCTGTTCGCCTGTAACACGTCTTGTCCGATTTCAGGACCGAGACCAACAGGTATATTTTTGTCTCCAGAAACACTGCCGCCCGGTGACGGGCCTTCTCTGTTTTGCGTTCCTGGTAATGCCGGGAAGTCTTCAGAACTCATTGTGAATTCACTCGATTCAGACGTTGGCTGTTTTACCATTCCAACTGAAATAATCATTGATGATTATATATTACGTACTACGCGTGGCGATAGTTTTACTACGTCAATACTAACCGTACGGTTGCTTCCCAGGCATAGGACTAGGTTGTGGCATAGAATCACCTTGTCCCCTGTTTGTCAACGAAGGAAATTCAGACAAATCCAACAATGGAGGAGTACTTGTGTCTCCACCTCCTCCACTGCCAAAAACAGAGTGAAAGTTATTGATTTGAGATCCGTAATTACGACTTTGAGGTATTCCAAAAGTGCCCATGCTACCCATTGGATTCGAGGTTCTACAAATGTATATCAACATGTTCATTTCTCCTCTCTCACGTCTTACCGACGTGTACATGACACATATAAGAGATAGCACTAACAATAACTGATAATACTAATGATGACACTGACAATTTTAAGTTCGTCTAACTACTTAGATAATGGAATAGGAACTGACCCAAGAGCAGGCATCGTACGTCTATCTGTAAAAGCCCTCTGTCCGAACAGTCCTCTGCTGCCCATAGGGGAGAGCTGTTGTTGTTGAGGTTGATGACTGTTCTGTCCACCTCCTGCTCCCGATGCTCCAGGGTATACGTTAGTAACTACTACCGCAGAATTAGCTGAACTGGAAGTGCTTGCGGATGAGCCTGAGAACATGCCCGAGGTAGGTGTAACATGACCCATAAGGGTCGACGAATTTAAGCCCCCCCCACCACCCGTGCGCGATGTAAGGCTTGCGTTCGCAATACTGCGTGGTGGCTGCTCAAAGTTCAGGTTGGCCATAGCCCGATGGCTCCACTACAAAGTACCTGCTAGGGCAACACACACTTTTTATGTCCGATTACCACGATCACTTGGTTTCTATCGTATCACTTGTAAGTCGTTCAATTGTATATAACTGAGGAAAATCCATGACAATAACTCCCCTAGTAGCAACCTGCAATGACATAGTAAAACATTTGTGATACCATCGAGAAACATGATTCTCGTTTTTAAGTTTTAATTGTATTTGTTTAACGTTTACCTCTTTATCACAGCACCACGGCAATGGTCATATCAAACACGAAGACAGGAAATGAGAATGGACCTATTGGCAAGCAAAAGAATTTATTTTTGTGAAGGTGCACTCTGAGAATCACTTCGTACAATTTTACAAGTGTGTCTTACAGTTAATTCACTTACACATAGCTAAATTATACATTGTATTACATCGTGGCATCGATTTTTATTCAGACACTGAAATGATGTTGTACAGTTTGGAAATAAATTATCCTTCAAACAAGTATAAATAATACTCTTAAACTTATAAAACTTTATCTACTTACTAGAAACTAAAACATAAGGAATTTTGAATAACATAATCGTGTACTATATAAAATTAATCAGAACTCTCTGTCATGAGTATTGTGGATGATGCTCTAGAATCTACTTAGCTGCTAGGACATTCATATTTTACAAAATACTTATAAATTAATCTAACTATTACTTTCCATTACTTATATACTTTCACATAAGTCAGTAAACAATGGAAAATGACCACCATACTGGGCTCTACTATTAAACAACTTGTTACTTCAAAAAAATGACAATGTAATAACATAACAAAAATAGTTAAGTAATTATTCGGTCAATGAAGACCGTTAGTACCTTAAAATTACAGCCATAGTCACGTTGCACGAGAGACTAACAATTCTCGAATAATATATTGAACGTGTCGATGATTTTGACATTGTAAGTAAAGATAGAAATCAGAAACGGGCACAAAGAAAATCAAAGGTTATAACGTCTACGTAAGAAAAATACTGAGGGAAAAAATAGCAGAAGTTTGTTTACCTATATTATCGAATCCGTCGTTAAGTCAATGGACGAAAAAATCCATTGAATTCATAATAAACAAAGTAAATCAGCGTAAAAAAACACAAAAACGTCGATGTTGATTCGGGAATGAGTATGAGCGGAGAGAAAACGCGTCCCTCTCTGTACAAACAGTGGCTGGTATACAAGGAAAAGATTTTCACGTGAAACGTTTCAAAAATGATCGAACTCTTTTACGCGCGTTACAATATTCTTAACAAATAAGTGTCTGTTTTCTCGCACAGTTTCACAAACTTAAACAATACTAGAGACACGAATCTCTGCCATTGTAACCATTTCTACCGTGTCCTTCAAATTGGATACTGAAACGATCATGCACGGAAATAAAACGCGGAAACGATCCACGAAACGTTCTTAGAATAATCTGCGTTTAATTATCCTGTAAAAAACTGGTCGAACGTTCCTCAATATGTCTCGATACGCGGATTCATTTAAATCCTGAACATGACTACCGAACTGTTTCTCATAGTCTTTGGAACACGAAGCTTTTAAAAAGTAATTACCACCTTTTAATGTAATCGTGGGAGGAACGTGAATTTGCTAATGCGCAGTTACGTTCGAGGAATATCTTAATCGTTCATTTCGAGATTCGTAACATTTATCGTTGGGGAACTTTAATGAAGTGCATAAGGCGAACAATCTCGAATATCTTACGTGCACACATGCGCACACGCACACACACGCTCACGCGTGCGGCATTCTCGCACAAATCCGTGGAGATTAATATAAACAAAAAACATATGATAAACTCATTTATATTATTTTTCGAAATGTAAAGGTTTGATTAATTTTCAATAGGAATGCATTTATTTTCTCATACATCCTTCATTGTAAATTATTTTTTATAACAAAATTAAATAACATCTTGCGGATAAAATATGCAAGTATAATCGTTTCTCTTTTTCCGTTCATGCCGTATCCAAAACACATAAAATTGAATCCTAAGACTATAAGGGACATTGTAAATATATTATTAAATCTACTGTACCTAACTCTTTAGTATACCTACTGCTATTTTACATGATGCGTCTAAAGAAAAGCATCTGCACGTACACGAAGTTACTGGACACTCTGAATGTTGCCTGTTAAATCATAATTAAATTATTCATATCACACACGATGTACTGTTAACGTGGATATAATGTTCAGATGTATTACCGAAACCAGTGCGTAATATGATCAGCATGACCACCGTGTCTACACGTTTGACACCATGTAAACCAGTTGCTGAATTCTGTTAATTTATTATCACATTCTTCGCTTCTGCTAACACCGGACGTCGTCATTTGCAACCCACTCACTGTCCCCATATGCATTAAACAAATCGCACATCGCGATAACGGTTTTCTGCAATTCGGACACGAGGACATCTAAAATTGAAAACTTAGATCGATACTCGAAAAATATTATGTAATCAACTATTCGAATAAAAGCACACCTTCAATTTATTTGGTGTACTTCCCAGCCTACCAAAGGGTCCCCTCGCTCTACTCAAACCCTGCATAAACGCAGATATACTCTTGCCACAGAAATTACAAGAAACATATATTTGTTGCGGGGGTTTCTCGTTCGTCGATGCCCGCATGGCGATGTCGAAATGGGCTCTCTGTGTCCACATTTTCCATGCGTTTAAAAGGTTTCTGTAACTTTATTTTAATTCATCAAGTTTCGCATACAGTATCTTTTCACAAGCATCCTTTTTACCTAGTAATCCACACTTGAACTTGATTCTCTTGAAGTAACTTTGGAGTAAATGCTCTAATAGCTATTAAACTGCAGCTTTGAACATCGCCAGTAATTTCTAAATATCGGTTTAATAATTGTATGCCTTCTAAACTGGCCCCTAGAATGCAATATAAAGAAGCTGGTAATGAGATCCATTATAATCCTAATATTTTATAAAAGTAGTACGAACCTGTTAAAAGAAAACCAGCTAAATTTCCCTCATCCGTTAATTTTTGAGTTAATTTTTTTAAATATTCGCTTAACTTGCTGTCTGATAAGAACATAAGCGCAAATGCCACTCTGTCCTCGACAGCCATGCCACTTTCATTCTGAAATTATCTATCTATTACGTATGGTATAAATATTTAATTAGACAATAAAATGATTAGCGTATGTTTACCAAAACGTTCTCATAAGAATCGTCTGCTGTTAGAAAAGCAAACGTTGCTCTTAAATAAGGATCCGAGAGCTGCGATCTGCATTTTAAACAGGACTCTCTCCACATACTATTCCTGTCTTCAGAAAATCCAGACAAAGCCATAGCGACGATATTTAAATTTGTAGACAACGACATTTTACTAGCTCCTCGATTTAAAATTTCTATAGCTTGCCGCAGACATAAGTTAAATACCGCTATCGCTGCCGCTCTCGGGTACGCTCCTTCCCTTTCTAATCTTTCTAAGAATAAATTATCATAAAGAGTATTGGCATCCTTATCAAATCTCCAACCGCACAACAGCAGTCCCTTATCTCTATCGGGAGACCTGAAACGTAACGTTATCGTAAATTTTACAAATTTTAATACATTTTCATGCGCGATATGTTTCATACCTATAAATTTTTGCCGTGTAATTAGATCCTATATCCGACCAGAGACGATGAGAAAGCTCCGATTTTAGGAAGCCGTTATTAGATCCTTGCTGGCCATCCAATTTTAGAACTGTTCTGTGTAACGTGAACACGTCTTGTTTTTTGAATTTTTAAATATACAATTAAAAGATCATTAATTTACCTGACACCCGGATGCTTACTGTCCGAGCTTGGTATGGTCTCATCCTCCACCAAGTAGCGACTTAAGTATAACCATTGCCATAAATTTTTAAGAGTATCGTTTTCGGCCAGATCTCCGTTCTGAGCCAATTCTGGCTAGAAGTATAAATGAAAGCTTTACACGATACAAATTGCGAAAATTCCCTCAACTTACAAGCAATCCGTATTCCGAAGACGCGCGACTTTTCGTTAGAATGGAAATATCATCTATAGCTTTATAAATATTATCGTTACTGCATATATATTTGAACGATTTGGATGCGTGATTCCAAGCGAGATGAGATCGCGTCGACCAGTTTACCGTAATTCTTTCGCAAACCGTGTAATCCGTAAGACCTTTAAAAGTACCAAACGGTATTAAAAAATGTTGTCCAATTATATCTATAATTAAATATAAATATATTATAATCGAACCTTGCTGAGATACTGCCAACAATCTGTTCACGTGCGTTGGGTGCCACGAAAAACTTACAGGACTATGCCAAGGTGGTGCAACCGTCCTTTCTAATGCTCCGGGTTCTGTGTCTTCGCCTCCTCCGATTCCACAGTGTTGAATATCATATAAATGCAGCGTAACTTTGCAAAGAGGTAACGTTAGCGATCGACTGAACTTACAATTAAATAAAGCGAAAATAAAAATCTACCTGAATCTTTTTGTAAAGCTCCTAACAAATTATGCCTAGTCGGACACCACAACACTTTCGTAATCTGTCTGTTTTGTGATAACGTTAGAACAGGTTTCTCAAAGCATCTTGTATCCCAAATTGCTATTTGATTATCGATACTTGAAACCAAATGATAATTATTGTGAGGATTCACGGATACGTTGTAAACCGCTTTAGTTACCGCGGTATTAACTACCTTTGCAGAATCTGATAGAAAATTCGACGTATACATATATACATATAACAGAGCACGAATTAAATCAAACGAGTAACGAAACAGTTTTAATAGTACCTCTGAAGTCAATGATTTTTAATTGTTTGTTATTAATCCCAGCGACCATACATTTTTGTTCGTGCCTGAACCAAGCAATGGAATGTGCAGTTTCGGATGCGCCGACTTCTGCAACTGGCCTCACACAATCTGTCTGTACTGCATTGTGATGATGCACCCTTTCGGAATTTTGTACACCTTTATTTATATCCCATAGCAAAATTGAATGATCTTTGCTATGCTTGTCCAATCCAGATACAATTAGGTTTGTGTCTATATAATTCCAAGCGACTGTGTTACATTGTCTCGCATGCTTAGGTACTGTAATAAAAAACAATTGTGATCAAATGTATACGTGATCATTAATTAAAATAATTTACCTAGCTCTTTTCCATTGAGACCTTGAGAATCAAAGATCGTCGCCCCAAACGTAGTTAATACAACTTTGCCATTTGCTTGACCTACTGCTAATAAAATATCTGGTTCTAATTGTGGATATATATCTATGCATTTAACATAGTGATGATTGGTGTTTGTTGCAAGCAGATGAGCTACAGTGCAATCAGAAATCTTAGTATCTGCAATAAAATAATAAGCTGCTAAATTAGAATAAACCAGAATTTATTAATTCAAAGGAAAATCTACTCACATAACTGTCTATTATTGTCCTTAGTTTGCATTATTTCGTATAAACATATTTCTGTGCCCCATGTTATAAATTTATTAGCATGAACTGGGGACCATTGTACGTCAAGCTTGATGGTGCTCATTTTGTTAAAGTTTATTAATCAAAATGAAAGGAATTATTCTAGGCTCTTGCCTAAAACAATAAGAACACCGTGTTATATGATACTGCAACATTTCCTTATTTTTTGTTCTAAAAGAATTACATCAACATACTTGTTTATTAAACATTTTTATCCAATGATATCCTGTCATCCATTTTTTCTGTCGGTTTTCGAATTATCGAGGCTGAAAGTAAATTCGCTGTTTAGTGACGCTGCTAACTCTTGGCTATTTTTACGACGTTGATAAATAATTATTAATTATGTGTAAACCTTAGAAGGAATCTTAGAATTTCTAAAATAAATACAACAATACATACAACCGAGATGCATACATCCCGGATACCTACCACCACCTACCACCACCACTTACTACTGCCCTTCCACCACTTGGACATGTTACACCATCTAATGGCAAATAGTAGGAGCCAGGGATCTCGTTTGCTTCCGTACACGGCTCGCTTCCCCTGTTTTTCGCCCGTTTTTCGATCCCCACTACTATTCTCCTCACGCGCCTTCGCGAAGCTCTCCGCACCGCCACCTGCATAACATTTCGTCCTAGTGATTTCTGAATTTGAATCGGACGAAATGAATTATTATGAAGAGCGAAAGTAAATGTAATGAATATAATTTATATGCATGTATATATTTGAAAAGCATAAATGTATGAGAAATAATGTATGCTTTTCGTGTTTGTAAATTTCAAATTGAATCTATTCGGGAGAGGTAAATAATAAAAGAAATGTAATTTTATTTGTTTAAAAATATATTTATTCGTCATCAGTGTTTGTAGTGTCAGTGTCATCTGTTTCATCTTGTACAATTATATTTCCTATCTCCGCAGGAATTGCTTTCCTCTTATACATGTTATTATTAAATAATTTTAACATGTCCGTTGTTACAATATAATCCATACATGTTTTTTTGTTACTTTTTAAATATAATTTGGTTCTTGTTATTGCCGCGATAGTTTCTGGGTTCAAACGATTTCTATCTAAACTTTGTACGTGAAAACAAATTGGACGTGAAAGTGTTTACGCCTGGAATCCAAACTCAAATGATTCAGCGCCGCGTTCGTCTACGTCACACTTGGCTTGGCGCTACTATCAACGTTGCCAACTTGACGAAATGTATAGCCAAAATAAGCCTACAAATCTTGAAAATCACTGCATACCCCCACCAACTATTGGTCCCCACCATGGTCGCGTCGTCCCCACTTTCCGGCATGTACGGAAGCAAACGAGATCCCTG